GGGGAGACTAGGCAGAGCCTGGTGCGTCTCCCCAGGAGAGTGGAGGAATCCTAGGGTGTGCCTGGAGGTGGTGGTGGTGGAGTGTGCCAACGCGGGTGTGAGCGCGTGTGCCGGCGAGGGTGGGCATGGGGCGAGCGTGGCAAGGTGAGCTTGGCTTGGGAGTGGGGGAGGAGCCGGGCGTGCGGCGTGATCGTGAGTTCGGGGGCGTGTGTGGCTGGGGACTTGGGAAGAGGTGGCAAGGAGCGCCGGCTGTGTGCGCACGGGGTGTGTACACTTAACTGGATGTCCGTTTCCCATTCTCTGTCCACGCGGCAGAGCAACTCCTCGGTCACCTAGTGAGGTGAAGCTGGTCGCCGCGCAAGCTTCCAGGCTGACCCTGGACTGTCAGCTGCGTGTGCCAAAGCTGGAAAGGTCTCAGAGGGGTCAAACTGCCTTTACCTTCACGGAAGAGCCGCTGTCCTCCAGGAGTGAGAGAGGTCATGACCAGACAGCCAGGATTTGCTCCAGTCCTCTACCACGAGTGTCCAGAATTAAGATTGAGGATTTGGGAATGTGAACTCTCACTTCCTTATCTTCCCAGAGCCGGCCCAGGCCTTCAGACCTTTCCAGAAGCCCAAAGATCCCTATTGCTTAGTACATCGACCCAGGATGGGAAGTGGGAGATGGACGGACGTCCATGGGGCTTAGTGTTCAGCCAGGAGTCCCATGGTCACCAGAGCCGCACGTGTAGAGCACAGCTCGGGCTGCTGAGCCAAGCGGTCTCCGGCTTTCCCTGTGTCTCTTAGCCTGGGTGCTGGGAATCCCGGGCCTGGAGATCGCGAAGCAGGCAGCTTCGTGCCTCTGCGGGGACCTGAACACTCTGGCTTCAGAGATTGCAGTTCTGAAATGTGGAGAGGTGTATGCTGAGACACAAATGGAGAGAAATGAGAAATGTGCGGAAGGGTGAGGGTGTACTTGGCAGGGCGTGTCTTTAACTGTGACTGGAAAAAGACCTTCCTGAGTCCAGAACAGGGTTTCGGGCTTGTGGCAAACCGAACCCGCCCCCTGAAGCACAGGGTGAGGACTAGTTTTTGAGGTCTCAGCTACTCTGGGCCTCTAGGAGCTTGTCGCTTCTAAAGGCTCACTTACCCTAACCAAGGCTTCCTTAAGTGTGCCAGTCTGAAAGGTGCACAATTGGCCCTTCAAGAGGTGGGCGTGGACCCCATTAGCATTTGCCAAGAGTCCTAGAACCCTGTGGGATTTGCATACTAATTTGCATACAGTAATAATGATTAACAACACTGCCACTCCCTGGCCAACCCAGGAAGAATTCAGGGAAGGCCCTGGCAGGGATTCTCCCTCCCTCCTCTCCTTGGGGAAGAGTTTTTGATGTTGGGTTTTGTTTTAGACTTTTAATTAATTTTTTTTATAGTTGCTGTAACCCCTAAGAGAAGGTACCCTGTCTCTGGGTGGTCTGGCCCCAATAGGGACACTTCCTTTGGTCCTCCATCTCCTGCTCAACTTGGGGCAGGGGAAATTCAAGTTTTTATTTCTGCCTAGGTTAGGATTTCCTGAACATTTTTGCCATTATTCTGCAGTGTGACGATAGTCCAGGGATCAAGTCTCCCAAACTGTCAGGGACCAAATGGTCGCCTGGGACACCAGCAGACTCTCGGAGTGGTCTATTAATGAGACATGTTGTGCCCTCCCTCCGGGGCTTTGTAAGCCCTACTTGAAGGCAGAACACTCATTCAGACACCCTGCCCCAGTCCCTCCAATCCTGTCCATTGATGCTCAGACTTGGTAGTTAGTCTAAGTGAAGTGTCTGTGAACCGCTCTCCTTTTTGCCTCCAATATCCGGAGAAAAGTAAGAGAGACTTGGATTTCTAGTTCAGGCCAGCGTGGATTTTGTTTACAGATGATAAGGAAAATGGAACAAGTAAGAGGAGAAAGGAGGTACCTGGATCCAAGACATTGTCTGGAAGAGACACTGTCCAGGAGACACTGGCACTCACTTACCCTCCATCCCTTCCTGGAATCTCCCAGGCTTTGCCTGTTGGCTCCTTCCCCCCTCTGCCTCTGGCCCAGCCTGGCCGGGATTTTTCATTTGCTTTTCCCCCATGACACGGCCGCTTTTCCTTTAACTCTCGGCTTCTATTTAAAAAGCTAATTTGGGAGCTTGTCGATGCTCCCAATTCAGACATTTTAAATAGGAACTGAAAGTCAGGAGCTGCCAGGGCACTAGGTTTCCTCCTCTCACCACTGGCACTGCTGAAGTGTTGGTTCAGTCACTCTGGCCCCAGTGTGTGTGTGTGTGTGTGTGTGTGTGTGTGTGTGTGTGTGTGTGTGAATGCCCTGCAAGCTCAGGGTGTATTTCAGGTTATCTTTTCTATTTAAAGACAATGCTCCTATAGAAGACTCTGAGTATGAGTGTGTGTGTGTGTGTGTGTGTGTGTGAAGCTGTGCACACATGAGGATTCGTCTGTCTGCTTAGAGGTGGGTGAGCCCCAAATACAATGAAGCACTTGAGCCCAGGACCGTGTGTGTGTGTGTGTGTGTGTGTGTGTGTGTGTGTGTGTGT